ACAATGTAACGGTCAACAGGGAGAAGTTAACCTTTCCCCGAAACACAATTCTGACTATGATTCGACAATTGTTTACTCTTTCTCCTTATTGTGCTTACTACTTAGAAAGTAATTTCAAGTCTTTTGTTTGACCAAGCAGTCGATCGACAGAACAACATCTCTAACTCGAGATAAGCACGCTACCACTAGACCACAGAGACAATAAAACTAATGATCAAGAAAGACAATTCTTATCCGATACCAAATTATATTGGAGATACAGATAATTGTTTTCTTTTTTTAAATTTTAGTTCATTTGTATGTTCCGGAGTAGTTTTTTGCTGAACTATTATACATTATTTTTAGGGGCAAGATAAGCCTGCTTCTGGCCACGGGATTTACCGCTGCGTTGAAGAGCCATTCGTAGCATTGGGCTGTTGTTTGCTCTTTGATCTTGTTGTTGTTTCTTTGACATATTCCTTGTTTCCATTCTCTATTCTATGTATTATTATGTAAACATTCGATTGCATTTATTCCGGATACAGTATGGATAAGGAAATTTGGTGTGATTGAAAATGAGACACATATCTGAAAGATCCCAAAATAAAGCGGATATCAGCAACTGCATGTCACCATAGTCATACTTCTATGGAAGTTTAAAAAGTAAAAAACCAAATAAAATATATAAGGCACCAAATATTATTTTAATTTCATCAATTAGTATGGATAATTGTACAAACGTTTTTTAAACAAGATATGTAGAATCTCTAACATGTATATTGCAACTAACACACGACATAGGCAAAATCTATTTGTTCTTACAAAAGATGGGGGAGGGGGGGGGGGGGGGGGGTAATTCCATAAAATTAACCAATTTTTTGCCAAGGTGTAATGCTTCTAGGGGCTTGGGGGGTCACTATTGACTAAGCAAAATGTCTGTATGTTGCAAAAAACAGCAAAACAAAACAAGGACATTTATTCCCTTCTCTAATATCTCACATTAATTTATCACCTGCATTGTTGTTTCTTCACACTGAGACATATATTATGAATAATCATTAATTATATGATTTTAGCAAGATTTTCATAAAATTATTTTCATCTTTAAATTTTTACAATTACAAAAACTACTTTACATGGCGATCAGAGTTTGAAATAGGACGACATATATGGACGTTTTGAATTGATTTAGGTAAGTATATTGGATTCTCATAAAGATAATAAATGAATCCATTGTTCATATGCTACGAATTGCATCCGTCAATATTGTTGCAATGTACGTTTCATATTTACATGATATTGTTCAATTAAAATTACACAATACTGTGGTAAGAATAATAACAGGCAAATAAAACTAGTTACAAAAAAATAAATAAAAAATTAAATAAAATTGAGAATGGAAATGGGGAATATGTCAAAGAGACAACAACCCGACCAAAGAGCAGACAACAGCCGAAGGCCACCGATGCTTCAACGCAGCGAGAAAATCCAGCACCCGGAGGTGGTCCTCAGCTGGCCCCTAAATAAAATTGTGTACTAGTTCAGTGAAAATGGAGGTCACACTAAACTCCAAAACATATAAATGAACTAAAATTAAAACACATACAAGACTAACTAATCGCCGCGATATAGCCTTGTTGTGCTAATGCGGCGTAAAGCAACCAACAATCAATCAATCATACAAGACTAACAAAGGCCAGAGGCTACTGACTTGGGACAGGCGCAAAAATGACTTTTTCGTTGATTAAATATTCGCATATAGTGAATCGTTGGTACATTATGTATCTCCTTCCAGTAGCACTCTGATACACCTGTAACAATATTCGCACTGATCCTGAAATTTACGAAGAAGAGTAAGGGTAAAACATAGGTAATTCTTACAAAATGGTGTGTATGTCTTATCTGCAAAATAAATCAATTTTCAAAAGGAGGACGAAGAACATATCTCATATAGTACGTCTTGGGGTAACAGTTTTATGGTTCAAAATTATTGAATTCTTTAAAAATTGAATCGTTCAAAACGTTCAAAATAACGAACTCTTCAAGTTTGGTAACACCCCGGGTTTTTATGACTGACGATATATACATATCTTATTGGGTAATATGTTGACTATGATGAAATGTAGTAACTGCTGTAGCATATATTTTATCGATTTGATTGAATAGCTAATTATGACTGAGAATGGAATCATCTTAATGTACATTTAATATTTCTTTAAATGATAGAATTATAACATAAAAACGAAGCATCGGTGGTAAAAAGTACAGTACAGAGAGTAAAGTCTTATTACTATGGATGCTTTAATCCGGCAAGATGTCAGACTGGTCCGACAGTTGTTCGAGTGTGATTGACACCTGCTGTAAAATTACCTGTGCAATACCAGTTGAAGGTCATAAATCAATCCGTTCCAGCTTGATTAGAATTAAATTTTACCTGTAAAGATATTTTAGTGTGTATGGAGGATAGATACCTGTAAAATATTGTACTGTATTGTATTCAATGAAGAAAATTACAATAAAATATCGAAAATATGATATGGGATCAAATTTTATTCGAACTTGTTAACTGACCGTATAAAAAATGGAGGGATGACGATTTTTAATAATGAATTGTTAACCATTAGTATTTTATAATGTTCAAAATAATAACATTTCATGAGGCACTTAAAGATCCTTTAAGAAAATTGTCCTTTTGGATCAGGATTATATGATTTTCATTGTTTTTTAAGAAGCTTCATTATATCATAGATATAATAACCACATTATACAGACTTATTTGAGGCATACAATTATGCAAATAGGTCTTTATATGACATCTTTCCGCCAATCTCGGCTCGTGCAGTTGGGATTTTTTTGTAAATTGATATCATATTTTTTTACCATTTTATAATAACATGAATAAAGTTATGTTAAGTTTATTTTACGATTTCGAAATGTAAATTTATCCATAAACCGAGAGGTTACTTACCTTTTTAAAAAATCTTTTACTTGACACAATTCGAAATTGTGCTTATTAACGGCCCATCTGAATTTGTTGAAATACTAATAAGTTTGTTTTAGTGAGTCTGAATTTGTAACCGCCAAAATAGCATATTTTCAAAAAGATCGGCCAATTCATACATTTCTTAAATACACCGATGTTTAATACATCATACATGTAAAATAAAATATTTAGTTCAAATTTGTTTCCCGTATCTATATTTAATATATTAAAATTTATTTCAAGAGGTAAACATTAACACATTAAAACTGTTCGTTCGGTCCGTCGGGAATACTGGTTACGTATACCATGTATTATAAACGACGCTCGTTTGTGTTGACATTTCTTATTTCTCTCCCTTTCTTTTAAAACTCTTTGGTTTTTTTTTATCGAAAAATCGATAATACGCCGATAGTGGACAACTGTATTTGGAAGAAGAAAACAAATCATGTAACACGGACAATGATACAAACTTCTTACATTTATTTTATTTACAACAATCAAGGATTTGAATAGTAAGTTCGTAAAAAAAAAAATATAAAATTCTGGTATTTCGCATGCTCAGCCTGGGAAAATGATATAAAATAGATATATGATGTCCCAGGTATAGCCGATCGATTAAACATGACGTTATTGGAAACAATTCTTTATTTGTTTTATTTCAATATTTATAAAGCTATGATCATGTGCCGAATCCTTGTTTCATATGCACGTCAATGTCGTATATTCCAGCATTATTTAAGATTTTGTTTGTAAATAAATGTATACAGTTATAAATTATGGAATTGACAAATTTGTTGGCCCTCGTTGTAAACAAAAAAAAAAGCCTATCGATTTTTCTCTCAGTTCAGTATTTATAGATTGTAACGCGTGGTTTCACATCAATGTAATGATGCAATCTGACATTTGGAGCACGTGTTTAGTTGCAGGACGCTGGGACTATAATACATTGTACTAACATATACTAGTAGTTAGTATAATAGTCTCAGCGGGAAGTCTAGATGCCATGGACAAATAAATGTATTTCCAAACATACGAGGTAACAAAAAACGTCTTTGAATAGATTATTAATAAAAAATAAAATATGGCGACCTGAATACCCGATTTAAAACTCTCCAAACTATCATTCTTCGTTTCATTCGTGCCTTTTCGTGATTAATGAAGATACGAGAGCGACCTTATTTTAATAAAGAAAGGCCTTAGACGTTACACTATCGTATTTGTTAGTTTTGTGATAGTCATCTTGCTATGTTGCATATACCTTTAATATGCAGGTGTATATAATATGTAATAAACTGTAGCATGTGTAACTGTACCTATCCTTTATTCATCAGTTGTCTTTTAAAAAATATACAATTTCAAAAGAACAAGATATAATACAGAAATAACCACATTGTTCCTTGATCAAGTAAGTGCTCCAGAATGGCAAATGATTTATTAGAAAATAAAAAGATGTGGTATGATTGCCAATAAGACAACTCTCCACCAGAGACCAAATTTCATAGAAGTTAACAATTATATGTCACCGTACGGCGTTCAACGATTATCAATTACCGGTTATTACATTATGTATCTTTATTTTACTTTGACTTTTCCATTTCATAATTCTAATTTGATTTTTGTTTGTTGTGTTAGTTTCGTTTTTGTTTTTTGTGTTTTTTTTTTTAAATTTTTGTCGTTTTCTGTTGTTGTTTTTCTTAATCATTGTTGTTTCAAATGAAATAAATTAAATTATTCAGTCGACTCAATATAAGAGTTATTGCCCTTTTTACCAATTTTGAGTGTTTTTGTCTATTATCTTGAAATCTATTATAGATAGATAGACACTTTAAATAGCAAAAATGGTCAGACAGACAAAATCTACAAACAAGTCAGCATAGAAACAGAAAAAAACCCATTAGAAATACAAGATCAACAAAATAGAGTTGGTAACTCCACTTCATAGACGATGTCATACAGCCACGTTATAGAGAGAAAAGGCAAAGACGATATTGTATGGATGAATATTAGGCGTCGTTAAACTCTATTGAAATATTTTGAATTGACTTGAAACACTTTACTGAAGTCCATTATCAAGTAGACAAAGGATTAACAAGAAAATACAATCAAAGGTAAATACAAAATGCATGTTTTTACACAATGAAATGGTTCTATATACAAATCTTTTTTATGTCTTATAAATACAAAATAATTTTCTGAAATGAAAAACAGTTGATTTAAAATCTAATTTATTTAAAAAAAAATCACTAGGAAAACAATGCTTGATTTCGATATTTGTATACATGTATCATACATCATTAAATATAGAATATATAATAACACTTTCTTTGGATATGATAATATGAAGCTTGAATGTGCATTTCAAATAAATGTATTAATATGCGTTGCATGGATGATTATACTTGTATAAAAAAAATGAGTTATCTAATGACATGAGGTCTAAAGGTCGTTGATGAAATATTTTCAATTACATACTACAATGAAAGCTTAACAAGTTTGATATCTATTCTTTGGCGTATAGAGTATCAATCTGATAATATTCGTTTGATACTGAATGTGCCGCGAGGTCCTGATACGTAGATACAGTTTCAATTCCGAGATTATCATAATGCTGTTCATTGCTAAAAAAAGAAAAATAATGTCAATTCATGACAGGTTTTTGTATATTTATTTTTGCCAAATCGTTTCCTCAAAATGTGATTTATTGTTTGTCGTTTCGTCTTTTGTTAGTTTTGTCCTGATATAAGAAGATCTTTTTTTTATTGTATTTTTTTTTATCAATGTACATACATGTAAGATAAAGCAAAATAGCAAAAAAATCAATTGAATCCACCGGCAGTACTGGATTGCCGATCGGTCTGTCATATTAAACAGAAAAATTAACAGCAGAGTAACCACATGCCCGATATATAGGAATTCCATATCATTTACCTTTCAATGGGGCACGACTTGCGACCAAATAATCGCTTGATGTCGATTTCCAATTCGTATAACGTATTTCTAAATTGTTAATGTTTGATATATATATAAATAGACTTGTATGGGAATTGTATGCGAGAAAGCACTTATATTGTTAAGTTCCATATAATTTTATTTACAAGCAAATCATCTCCAGTAAAAATAATTTGTGCACGCTGATTTTCAAACTCATCCGAGGTATTACTAATGTAAATTTTTGGAGGGATAGGAGCACAGACATAACATTTATCAGCACATATATATATTCCTTTTTCAGCATCAGGTGGTGGACAATAAACCTTGATCACATCCTAACACTGAACTGAAAGTGACCATGACAAGCTATAATAATTAATTTGAAGTGTTTTAGTGGCTCTTTCGAAATTATATTTATGTCACATTTCATATGACAGACCTTATTATCTTTATGGCAATTTTTACAAACTACTACAAAAGAGAAATGACATAGAACGTGAACGTAATGCATTGCGATCGGAATGAACATAACAGTGTCTAAAAACTTACTTTACTAAAAAAAGGTTGGTCTTTACTGATTCTCATCTATATGAGATTTTGTCATAAATCATGTGCATGGTACCATTACCGATGCAACAACTATCCATCATTTATCATGGGATATAAATGTGAACAATTGAGTTCACTATTGTTCTTTTAGATTTATTACCGGTATTGCCATATTTATACATTCTACATATTCATTGATTATAAAAAAAATCATACATTCCTTAGGAAACACATTTTTAAAACATTAATATGCTTCCTTGATTTGTTGTTCGCTTTTTAAATGTTACTGAGACATCTAGGCTCTTCACAGTAATTTTTTTAATTCGAAAAATGGACCTTTTACAAAATAGTCCAATATTTGTAATACTTGTAACATGAACATATTTAGCACTAGACGTTAGCAAACAGCAACCACTGAATCAATCAATTTAACAGAAATAACATATCCAGTTAATCGAACGATGATTATAGTATATAAAATTATAGCTTAAATAAAATCATAAGCTTATTGTGTCCGTGTTTCTAATAGGGATTGATTATAAATGATCAAATTCATGGATGAATATTAGGAAATTCCCTTTCCTTTAAGTCGAGTTTCAAATTGTTTAATTTTGTAGCAAACGATTTAATGTATAACTTACATATGAACATGCAAACGTTACATTGGTGGCCTTCGGTTGTTGTCTGCTCTTTGGTCGGGTTGTTGTATCTTTGACATATTCCCTATTTCCATTCTCAATTTTATAACATTTTAATATGAACAGAATACAAAATGAAATGCATACCTTTTTGGGTTGGCTGTTTTGTTCTTTTGCCCTATCAAAAATAATTCAATATATATATAATATAGAGTATTTTTTTATTTGAAATTATGAGTGAATTTTTTCTTTTGTTTTTCTTTAAACATAAGGCATTTTCATTAATGTAGAACTGTGGATATCTGCTGTACATGTACAAATGTCTTTTGAAAATACGACCAACCGGTTTGATGAATAAAGTTATATTCGGAATGAAAACAAAAACCTAGAGGGAATCAATTAGAGCCATTTGCATAATAGACTGTATATCAAATGAGACTCAAAAACTACAGATGGGTGCAATCCTAACCTGTACAAAAGCTAACTTGGAGCAGACTTGCTACTGACAAGACCTAAGGACCGGTCTTCTTATGACAGATTGGCGTGTTTAAGACTTTTCATATCAGACCTGATTTTTTATTATGTAAACAATAATCGTATTATTCTTTTTTTCCCAGTACAGCAAATTACTATACTCGTTAATGACTCATTATACGTATTATGCACATTAAAATTTTCTTTTTCATTTTATGTTGTTATATACATTAAATAATGGCTATACAATTTCACACTTGTTGATCGATATATATCATGCAGCTACCATAAAAGAAAGGAAAGATTTGTTTAACTGGAAGGCGGATAGAAAGGTAAGCGAAGGCATTGGAAACAGATTTGTATATGATGGGATATAAACATCATTGTTTACGTTGCTTCGTTTCCATTTTTAAAGTCTCTCCCTAAATATAATTCTATGCATAACATGGATTTTTCATCGTAATTCACCTTTCTTGCCTTAGATTTACTATTCTGTTTTTGACGAAATGTTCAACGAAAAGTGTATAGTGTCCGGATATATGAGGTGTTATAGTTATGAACCATTTCGTCAATTTCGGCATGTTCATTTTTACCGATTATAAATGATATCTGGGACGTATGAACAAATAAACTCGTCCTGAACATGAATGAAATGTTTGCCCCTGGACGTTTAGCTACCAACAACCAATCGATCAAGCGTCATACTTTTTATCATAAAGTACAAATATGGTCAATGTTGGTTGATGCGGTCAAATATTTTTGTTATAAGAGCCAGCCTGAGATATTAAAAATACTGCTTTTTTTGTGATGCGTCAATATTTTGAATTTACAGAGGACATGCTGGCACTGTAAATTGATGTGGACAAAATTCTGTAGTCATTGTGTTCCAATATTGCTGTCATTTTTATTATAAAATTCATTCTGACATTTAATAAGAGTAAAATGGACGATACAATAGATGCTTTAAAACATAGGTCGATAAAGGCTAACAACAAGAACAACAGACAAAAATATGCACCAAACAAACAATTTAAGGCACTTCTCAAAATATGTGCACCACCATCCCCCAAAAAACAAAATAAATTAAAAAAAAAAAAAAAACAGAGATAAACCTAAGTGATCCGGACGGTCAGTAGCTCGTCATTCTCTAGCTGCATGTAGTAGCCCTCGTCGCGTTAGTTCTGTTAAAATCATTTGATGAGTAAAAAAATGCAACAAGGCTTAAAATAAAGGTTTCAAAATCAAAAACCATCGGTGTACGTAGATTCTCCAACCCTTATTTTTGACCATAAAAATGACAGAGGCTAGCTTTCAAGGAAATATACCACTTTACTAACAACAACAAGAAAATTGAATTAACTCTTCAAAATAGTTAAATGAAGGATGTATTCATCCATATAGCATGTATAGAGTCAAGGTAATTTTTGCATTATTAACTAAGAATTTTCTCCTAAATTGTAAGGATTTTACTCTGAATTTTCCATTTCAAATAATAGCTCCTATTGCATTTGTACACCAAAACGTTTTATTTTCAACACTGGGTGTTTGCCATCTTAAATGGTGGTATTGGTCATCATCTGTGATAGTAAATGTACTTTTGGACTTTCTTGTGAATTGCGATCATGTATGTGTAAATGCACTATATGTTAATACACTAAATTATAACTGTATGTGCTTACTTTGTGTTATGGATATTCGTCTTCTGATAATAATGACCACTATACCGAGGGTCAACAAAGCTCCCAAAACTAAACCCCCAATAAAGAAGCCTAATTGAGTAGACAAAGGGGAATAAGTACTGGTTGAATCAGCTACAACTGAAATATTAAATACAAATTTACTCGAATATAGCTAGTGCATCTAATAATAATAATAATATCAGATTTTAACATGGGATTTCTGATATCAGACGACTAATCAGCCTTTCGACATTATCTCAGTCCAAGAGCCAAAAATTCGAGAGCTGATATTAACTAAACTGATGAATGCAAGTGATATGACAAATGTCATGTCATGATTCTTTAATCATAGACTTACACTTAGAAAAATTATGTTTGTATAATGTATTATAATATTTTCATAATTTTACTGATCAACAAGTTGAAGGTAGAACTTTAGATCTATTCATCCGGTTCCGAAGCACTGAGTTGATTCCCAGTTGTTTTGTCGGAGTTCCTGTTGCTCAATCTTGAGTTTTTATGGTATTTTTTGTGGACCTGTTTATCTCCTTGTCCCTTTTCCTCTTTTGCAATTGAGTTTTCTCTTCGACTGTTTAGATTTTAATGTTCCCTTGATATCTTCTGCCTCTTTTGATGATGAAATTATTTTAAATGCTGGTTGGAATACAGTACATATAACTCTCTCAGAGGTTCCTCAAGGCGTTTTTACCGACAAAAATGGACACTTAAGGGTTTCCAAATGATTGGAAAATGACAATCGTCAGTATCGAACTTTCCCTTTTTTTTCATGAAAGTTAATTATATAAGAATTTGAAAAATATTGGCCATACAATTCACAAGGTATTGCACGGAAACGGCAGAAAGTGTCATTTCTGAGTCAATCAAAAACAACTCTTTAACGACACCAGTTAACATTGTTGATATCAAACTGGACCTTCAGTTTGTCATAATAAACACCGTTTTGAAATTTTAAGATTATTAGTTGAACGATTATTAAGTTAATGGAAACAATAAGAAACAAACTGCCGTATTACCAATATTAAAATAATAACTTTTTTTCTCATCGGAATAACCAAAAACGAGATGCATTTGACACAGAATTAAATTAATGAAATATTTTCAATTTTTCGACACGGCCAATTGCAAACAGCAACCTGAAACACATTAATTTGGTGTTCAGTATATTCTTTATTTTTTTGGCACTTCTCGTTATGTACTTCATGATTCCTGTTATTGTGTCTTTCATCCTACTGTCATGAATGTGTTGTATATTTTCATATGAAACTTTACGTTGGGCTTTTTTAGTAGAAATTTTTTCCAAGTAGCGTCAATTTGCATTACGTTACCATTCGAAACAGACGTGCGATAATAACAAGAAGCAGTTAATAATACTTTAATGTTAGCCGGTTAAGCACTATGTGCGAAGTCAATTGAATGTACACAAATTTAATCATAATTTCGCACCGTTAATTATTTTTTAGTCGTTTTAAATACGTAATAATAATATATATTAATTACACTGTCATATCTTACCATATATTTAATAAGACATGCATGTTTTATCTAGCTTTGCTCATGTGGCAAAGGAGACCAGAGGAAAAACACAAAAGTATAAATCGAAAAAAAAACTGACGATATCACAGCAATAACGAGGAAAAGACAAAAACAGTGAAAAACAGTTCAGAAAACAATTCATAGAAAGCTAAAGACTACGGGACACGAACCGCCGTAAACAAACAGAGCATCTCATGTGCTTTTGAAAGGTAAGCGTATCCTTCTAAACATGTTGCACATGTCGTGTTGCCCGTGAAACGTTGGAAAACTACGATAAAATTACGAACTGTCGATTGTTATTGCCGTGAGCACCATTTTTCGTAGATTATGGGAAATGTTTGTTGGTATTGATACTTGTTGTCAAGGCTCTGACAAATTATCCAAAACATATTCAAATGACTGTTATTTAATTGAACACTTCAATTCTTAAATTCAATTAAATTGATCAATAACATCATTGAAAATAAGTATGCGTTATACATGCAGTAAATATGTGTATGTTCTTTTAAACTCTCGGCTTAATGTTTGCGAACTTTTACACATGCAGCTTTTGTCTGTATAATTCACTACTTATTTGATCATTAGAAATACATATGCATTAAAATGTACTTATCATAATCAAGATAAGCAACGTACCACTAGTAACGTATGTTATTATCATCCTTAGATAAAAGGCGCCGACAACCATACATTATTTTGTTTGTAAAAGTCCCTTTATTATATTATCATGTAGTGCGTGATAATGTATGTACGCGTGTATGCTAATTATATATAAATTCATTAATTTAGAGATGTAACAAACAGTTCTGAAATGCCCATATATGATCAATCAGATAAAGAACAAAGACGATAAAAACAAAAATCGGGAATGCTAGTATTTATGATAGCTTGCGGTTGTTTCCTTTAAAAATAATAATGTTGTGAAATTCTAAGAATACGTAATTTAGAATTAATCGGGGAACTGTCTATCGCTAAGAAACTAATACAAAACGAAAATACAAGATTGTAAACTAAGGCAGTGGCAGATACAAAGGCGAAAGTTGGATTCGTGTAGTGTTTTTGGGATTTGTTTTTTGTTTTTTGTTTTTTTTTAAAGCCATACATTTTCAAGATTTTGCTTGTTTCAATTTGTTTTACTCAACTCGTGTTCAGTTTGGATAATTTATTTCAAATGTAGTTTTCAATTTGTGTAATTATGAACGTATTGATATCCTGTTTCTGTACTGACAACTTATGCTAACCCTCCGGAACAAGTAGCTTTCATTAATTCTCTGTTAATGTATTTTGTATCAGTAGTTAGTTTATTTTACACTTTGGTACTTGTAATGCATTGTCAATTGATAAGTCGCCAATTGTTATATTGGATTTCAGTATAGACCAGTGGAATGAATATGTGTAAGGTATCATTACGATTGAGAATTGGATATCGCTTGATATCAAATCAGGAATTTAATTTAAGTATAATAATAAATGAGCCTACGGCAAGTTTATTATTATTATCTAAATTAAATAACAAGAGTTGATATCAAGCGTTAACCAAATCTCACAAGTTCTTAAACATATTTCTCTTATGATCAATACTCTCATTGTGTTAAATCAAAAGTTCCCAGAATCCTTGTTTTAGTCTTTTGCACATACCAGTATGACGTCATATGTTCTGTTCTGGATTCAAACTTAACAGAAGACCTTGCACTATGCCCGTCGCGCTAGATTACCCGACCACCTAGGCTCGAGCTGTCTAGCGCGACGGGCATAGTGCAAGGCGATTTGGTGCCACGATTTCTCAGTAGCATGAGTCCGAATTCCGGCCAGGGAAGAACAAAAATTTGCTTCCGCAAATTTACAGATCCAACATTGTTGGGCTGTTATTCAGACGAATTATATATACAGAATGTGTTTTCAGCCTTGTATCACCATCACTGGTGATCCGATGGATAAAATCTGTCGTAAAGTTGTCACTGGTTCACACGTACTTATATATATTAGTTTTACTTTGAGCACTATATAAAGACTGTGTGTCATCTTGGGATAATAGTAAAGTACGTAACTATCATCAGTGTAATACCAGCGGTTTCTGCAAATAGCTAAATGATGTTTGTTTTTATTCTATGATACATATATTTCAAAATTAAAGTAATAGAATCAATAGCAAATAGGTGTCTGTACATCTGATTCACATTACAGTTCTATTAATATATAACATAAGTTAATGTGTGGATTTATTAAAGTTTGAAATTACCTAAGAAAATTATGAAAATAATAACAATACGATCAGTCTCATTAAAAAACAATTCAAACAACATGTACGTCTGAGCAAACCCTTCAACAGTTACAATTTCTTAAATTGTTTTATAAAGCCTTTAAAAGAAAATGTATTTTAACCATACTATTGTATTCATATTCAATGAATCGATATATTGTTTCCTTTCTATTTCCGCAATCCATTTTTTTTAACCATATAAGAAAATACACAGTTTGAAATTCCCTTTTCAGACAGAATTTAAAGACTGAACGATAAATTCAACTTCAATAAAACAAAAACATACTTGTTTATTTTTTTCTAACGGTCAGTTTAAAAAAACAATTGCAACATATATTGTATATGGACTAATACATTAGAAATACCTGACATCATTGTGCACGTGCGGCCACGGTATCCGTCGATACAACCGGCTCTGCAATTCCCCTGCATTATATCACATGAATGATTAAAACATGTTTCACAAAATATCTTACAGCTGAATCCAAAATAACCATTAGTACATTCTGTAAAAAGAAAATGATAAAACTATATACAGGCAGCCAAGTACAAACAAAAGTCAAGTTTTCTTCAAAATATAAATCTTTTAAGATTACAGAAGGGAGGATAATAAAAGTATATCTGTTGAAGTTATCTAGTTCAAAACACATTATTGTCAGTCATATGAAACATGTATAACTGATCACGACACGAATTGTTTTAAATGAAAAAAAAACTCAAATATATTCTGAATGATTACTTCATCTTGAATGGTCAGATCCATGGTGTATGTGAGGTACCCTGGAGATCTTTCTCATAATGTAAAGAGTATGGGTCTAAGGGAACTGTCGCATAAAAGAAAAAAATTAAGGAAATTTTCATGATTTAAAATTTTTCAAAAGCAAATGTATGCCAAGTTAACGTATGATATTTTTTTAGTTAAAATCCTTGATTTTAAACATTACTCTTTCCATTTTGTAATTAATCCTTGTCAAAACTTTATATCCGTACTCAGAGAAAGTGACAAATCAACTATAATTGCTAAAAACGCACGACATTCCGTTGTCCGTTATCGATACCAACGTACAGTCTCAGTTAAAAGCGATAATTGTAAAGGCTACAAATACGAGGACGAACATGTCGTAAGCAGTCTTTCTGACCCTTTGAAATATACGATGAGGATAAAATTTGGCGGAGGCAATTACACCGCACTATGACAATACCATGCCTCAAACCAACATAAAAGTAAAATGTTAAAGTTGTTTACATTAAGAGTTGCTGTATATGGTTAATGACATCAACACTAAGAAATAGGAAGAACATTACACATTTTCAATTCATTTCTTTTTACATTCATTTTCATTTCTGAATATTTGTAACGGTCGAAATCAAGCACCTTTTAACACCATTCAATTCCATATAAAAACAAATATTTTTGTAGGAATCTTTTAGAAACTAGAATATCCGATAATTTTACCTTTTTTCTATTAACCACATCTCCTTACTTTTATATCAGTTTAATCTCCAATCATCGAAACAATTCATAGATGAAAAACTCGTATTGAAACACAATTGAACACCAACATTTTCTAGTAATTTTTTTATGATATTTAACTGCTCCTCGATTTAAGAATTTACATGATGTCATAACTGTACGTCACTGACGTTGCCTAGGAAAATAATTGTATAGGTAAAAGTTGGCTGTTTTAAATTTTATATTAACCACTCTTGATTTTTCTCGCGGTGAACATGTTTTATCATAGAAGATTGCGTACGCTTTAAGTCAAGAAGAGAAAGGAAATTTTAAAGTCATATACATGTAATCAATCTCATTGTCCGCAGCAATTTAACTGCTAATAAACTAGCCAAAGACTTTGTTTATGCAAGGTATATACATATATTCTAGGTTAGATTTAGGAATTATCGTCAACATTCAATTTTAAAACATGGACATTGAAGTGTAAAAACACAAATTCAATAAATAAAGCGAGAACCTTGATTGAGGACGTCGCACAAGCTGTCAACATGATTCTGAGACCTATTTCAGATGTATTTTGAAGTGGAGCCGTAAATTGTTATCCAAGATTTAGTACATTAAATATGTTAAATAGTAAAAATCAATCAGAGATGTCTGCTGAAAAGTCTCCACTGAATGTGCAAGAATGTTCAAATTTCAAATTACCTTCATCACACGAAGCACCATGCCATCCTCTTTCACACTCTTCCACAGAACAAGTACCATCAAATTTATTACAAGGTGTAGTGCGGCAGTTACATTTTTTTGCACAGTTTATCCCAAAATACCAATCGTCACATTCTACAGAAAAAAAAACATGATAATGTGTAATAATTAAAGAGTACCAGGCGTTATATCTGACAAACAAAATAATAATTTTTACCATTAAAATCGGAAATTGTTTGAATTTGGAAACATTTGTTATTGCCCTGGTGTCCCTTTGAGATGGTTATGACCAGTGGGATACATTTGTGATGAATCACACTCATCTTTTAGATTGCAGCCTGCGATTGGCCACTAACTTTATTTGCAATGTCATACTCGGAATTTGTATTAGAACCATGATAACTAGAGAAACAGATTTGACGAAAAACTTGTATCATACATTTAATTTGGAAAATTAACTATCTCAAGTTGAAAAATGAAATTATCAATATGGTGTTGTGGTATGATCTATTTATTATTGTTGTTTGTTTAAAGATTCTATTAAAAGGTACGTGGCAGTGGTGAAAGAGAGAAGCGAAAGATACTAAAGGGATATTCAAACTCATAAGTCGAAACCAAACTGACAATGCCATGGTAAAAAATTAAAAAAACGACGAAAAGACCATCAACAGCACACAAAACAAAACAAAACAAAACACAAAACACAAAAAAACGAAAGACTGACCAATAATACAAAGTGTTGGGTCTTCGGGTGTTCATTGTTCATTTCTGTTTTCTGTAATTCTATAGGCCATTTTTTTTTCTATTCGGTAAAACAATTGTTTATACTATAAAATTCTTGTGTTCAGATTCTACATATGCATATTTCCTATTATATCATAATTTTGACATCTACTACACAATACTTTTGGTTAAATCCACGCCCCTTAATCATTATGATAGAGAGGTAGAAGTTACCAGAAGGTATCTAACTCATAAGTCGAAACGAATTCACAGGGCCAAGCCAAGCCAAAAAAAAAAAAAAAACAATCAAAATACAAACACGTTATAAAACACAACTAAGACAACTAAAAACTGAGCAAAATAAAACCCAACAAAAATCGGGGGTGATCTCAGGTGCTCCGGAAAGGTCAGCCGTCTTTAATTCATAATAATATCTTTTTGTGACATTTAAAATACTCCAAACAAAAAGTCAGTCAGAAGCAATTTAAGTTATTTATTAGATTAAAAAAAAATCAAAACCAAAGCGTCAGTCCAGAAGAATAGAAACGCAGAAACGAACCACGGGACATTAAAAAGGAACAATGACAATCACGCCTTAGAGACAAATAAACCTTAACAACTGTAGAGGCCTACATAAGACTTTCAAGACTAAGTGATATATCATATGTCATAAATGCTTTATACGAATTCTACAAATACGATCAACTACCTGTACAAGCATTTTACTGTTGTTGCAAATATCAAAATATACCCCCAACAAATCAAATACAATAGCATCCGTCCTCGAGCATCAGACATTTTATTTCAAATGATCTACTAGTCTAATGCCAATTATCAATAATACATTTTGTGTAAATTTCGTTATTCTGTAATCAGTTTTTTTTTTTTACCTTATTCTTTTTTTTTACACAGTTATTCTTTATATTTTATATATTTTAGCATCCATTATTCTCTATTCTTTATTTTTTGGGGGCATAATTCTCTATTCTGTAAACCCCATCCACACCCTCACATATCAAAGTAATTTGTAAAGCATCATAGGTAACATTGCTTGATATAGTTCTATATGTATTGCATACCCTGATTGCAGTACTCTCCATTCAAAAAGCCTGGTTTACATGCACTGATATAAGTGCACCTGCCGGTAACTTTATCACACATGTTTGATATACACCCGAGACAGGTCTGTGAACAGTTTGAACCAAAATGGCCAATGTCACATTCTAAAATCACAACATTATCGATTGTCATAGTTATATCAACACATGTGTTCTGGTAATAATATACACGTTCATACAATATCATTTTATTTTCTTAAATTCATGATGATCCATGTAATGCAGGGTATTTCATTTATACCTTCTCTGCTGTATCAATTATGGACACTTGCATGTTTATGGTTTATGATTTTCGGCAATCTAATACCTAAGATTTCGCCACAGGAAAAAATTATTGAAAAAAGTAATCTTTAGATATAATCATGACACAAAAGCATATAGATACTCTGGAATTTCAATAAGTGTGAACTTTACAATATCATAAATATTATTAAAACCAACATTAAGGCGAAGTGTACGTAATTGCACGCCTCTAGCGGAATTTAGGATAAAAAACGTGCGTCGTTAGTTACGCGGGTTATCTCCCCTACTCCAAGAAAGGAAAAATGGGCACATGAAAGAAAAATGACTTCGTGCGGTCTATCATGAATCCAAACAAGTATTCATGTGCTATCTCAAAACTTCAAAGAAATTATTAGAATGACTCCAATCAGAAATCTAAGTATCCTATTGTAAGTTAGTCTGACTTTATTACCACTGTTTTTGTTTTAGACACGCAGGAGCAGGTACACAATACGACTCGTGTTTTTTTTTCAACAGAAGGTAAAACCGCATAAACAACAAAATTATAACCAAATAAACAAATAAACCAGTGACAATTCTGCTTCTATTCGTATCAAATTCATTAAAATCAAACCAGAATTGACCCCACAATATTTTTTGAAAAACCATAGTTTTGAATGAAATTCACAGTGTAGCGTAAAATTGTAGGTAACGAATAATTATATTGCATGTGAATTTGTGTGTTGAACAAGAAAGACGTTGGCATGTCCGTTTTTATGCAATTGAAAATTTTATGATGTTTTATATTTTATTATTTATGTTAAAAGTATAAAAGATACTAAGGGGTAATCGACAACTAGTGCAACATCATGAACATTTATAAGCCGAAGGCGAAGAAAAAGCCAACAGCAAAAAAAAAAAAAACCCATCAGATTCCGTCAACAAAACATTACACACTCAGAAACTAAGAATTGAGCACTATTACATTTATCTCAGAATAAGTAAAATATATGTCATCTAAATCTCAGTTTTCAAGGTGCAGAAAATAAACAGGTGTCTTCTATTCCGTCCGCAATTTTTGGGGAAAGTAAAATCTAAATTTAGAACCATGGTTGAAACTGAAACTACACATGTATGATAAAAATAGAACGTGTTATTTTTTCTTTATCAAATTCCAATTTCGAAGGGATAGCGAAATATGTTTTCTTTTGTTGTGCTTTTGTGTATCATTCAGCAGTAGTATAAGGTAGGGGAAGATGGGGTAGGGGTGAAGAAAATAAGGTCTACAATGTCGGGGCTTTTTATAACCGACTATACGATATGGATTTTTCTCATTGTTGAAGGCCGTATGGTTGCCTATAATAATTGCTTACATCCACATCATTTAAGGTAGCTGGGGTGTCTAAATGTTGGACGATAAATTTTTCTTAAACTTCTGTAAAAGACCTCTGGGTCAATGTAATTTCAAATTTCAATATAAAAACTGGGGATCACGGACCTTGTTTTTTCGTAATAACACATTGAAATTAACGAAATTTGGGTTATTTTATATTGTTAATATAGGGGAAACTTAAGTTTTCCTTATTGCGGAAACATTAAACGATAGAATTGGCTAAAATTCGATGAGAAAATTGCTTTTCATTAATAACTCCGTTTTATCAAATAAAAATAGGGGGTCACGGGCCTTATTTTCTTGAAAAAATCCCCAAAAATTTTAAATATACTTTACGACACTTAATATTTTGATAGTTCAATCTTTAAATTTCAAGTTTTAGGTATTTTGTTGTATATTAAATGATACTTGGTAAAATATTTTTAAAACAAAAAAGTATTTTTGCAACATGATCAGAACGGACGCTCAGAAAAAGACACCCGATCTACCTTAAACTGTGGCAGATAGTTGTCTCATTTGCAATCATACCACATCTCCTTATTTTCATATTATATATATACAGGGACAAGTTATATCAAAAACTCCGATCTGTTTTACTTTGCTAAAATTCATATGCGGGTTCTTCTTTTGACCTTATTACAGCCATAAAAATTCTCAAGATAATATGCAGATGCAGTTTTCTTATTTTTTGGGAGTCGTGCATGTGGATATTCAACAAATAATGGTACAAGAAATTATTTCCTTTTTTACTTAAAATCTCCAGCAAACATTATATTATGCTTTGTCGTGTAGTTAAAGAAAAGGGAAAGCGATCGAGACAGGAAATTTTTAAAATAAAATTGCAGAGTTGTGTCACGTGCACGTGTGTGAACCTGACAAATAAAATGGGTTTTGTGCGCAATACCTCGAATAGCGCCGGAAATGGTGAGGATGAAAAGATGCAGCAAATTATATACACTTTTTTTAAAATACAAACATGCAGAAATAAGATTTTAAAAAAGACGTGTATACGCGATCCCAATATTATAACCGATGATTTAAATACGTATAGAATCATTCTGTTGGCAACGCTGTGTTAACCGGGACAATTTCAAACTTGATATTTGATTCATAATTATTAGAACAATACAATATAAAAATAAGAAGATGTGGTATGATTGCCAATGAGACAACTCTCCACAAGAGTCCAAATGACACAGAAATTAACAACTATAGGTCACCGTACGGCCTTCAACAATGATCAAAGCCCATAGTCAGCTATAAATACAAGCATTTCAAAAAAGATGTGGAACCCTGTCTAATTAAGAAAAGATGGAGTTAAAGTCTATACAGTAACTTTCTTTCACTTGCAGTATATTTATTTGCCAATTTGCTTTTTTTTTGGCGGCAGAAATATCCTTAAAAAATACTCAGTTTATTTCCTTATCAATTGATTACGCTTGAGCATTTGCAATAATTAGGAAAATGGGTTAAAAATAATTCGTAAATATAAATCAACATGTAGACATCTTATACGTTCAGGTATTTCACATCCAATATTTTATGGTAATATTCTTTACAAAGCACAAAAATGTCGGCATTCACCTCAAAAGCTAACCAAAACTTTAAACAGACTTATTTGGAAAGGATGTAGTTACGATACTGTTGTCAGGTCATTAAGGATTGCATATTTTGGTATTAATATTGATTCACTCATAGGGTCTTTGCATCGGAAATAAACACTATTATTCTAAAACCAGTTGTTGGCATGATACGGGTTATGTTCTTCTCATATATTTTATGATTGTATGATACTAAACCCCTAACGGGAGGTATTGTACTTGATTTTCATATGATGAAGACATAATCTTTCAATCAGTTTAATTGAGGTCTGGAGCTGGCATGTCAATAACTGCTAGTAGTCCTTTGTTAATTTATGTATCATTGTCTTTTTGTTTAGTTTCTTTTGTTACCTATTCTGACATCGGACTCGGGCTTCTTTTAAACTGAGTTATACTGTGCGTATTGCTATGTGTTTCTTTATTCTACTTTGGCTAGAGGTATAGGGGGAGGGTTGAGATCTCACAAAACATGTTTAACCCCGCCGCATTTTTGCGCCTGTCCCAAGTCAGGAGCCTCCGGCCTTTGTTAGTCTTGTATATTTTTTAAATTTTAGTTCATTTATATGTTTTGGAGTTTAGTGTGACGTCCATTTTCACTGAACTAGTACACAATTTTATTTAGGGGCCAGCTGAGGACCACCTCCGGGTGCGGGATTTTCTCGCTGCGTTGAAGACCCATTGGTGGCCTTCGGCTGTTGTCTGCTCTTTGGTCGGGTTGTTGTCTCTTTGACATATTCCCCATTTCCATTCTCAATTTTATACACACTCACGATTTTGTTTCGACACTGTACGGTATAATAGCGTTATAGAGTTATATCGAGTAGAAATTGTGATGACGTTACAGTAGACATCAATAACGTCGCCGAATGCTTTTTATTCTTTCCGCTAAAAATCAAACTTCCACAGGATATAGCTTGAAAACTAGCACGGTTGCTAAGGACTTTCTTTGCACCATCGGGTTCGTCGTTCATTTTTGAATCGCATATCGATTTTTAAAAAAATTCTGTGGACCAACGAATTAGAAAATCTTGATAAAGTAAAAATATCTGCCGATTTTTATGATTTTCCCTATATATCCTTTGTATTTTTGGCGTAGCATGCTGTTAATTTCAACAGCTTGTATCTGAAAAACGAAAACGGTTACCCCCTTTTTTTATTTTATTGTCTGATGTATTTTTATAAGCAGAATCCACATATAAAATTAAAAAAAAATCTGTGGAGTAGTTAATTACGTACACTTCGCCTTAAACTCATCAAAGATACAAGGATAAAAATTGTGTACGCCAGACGAGCGTTTTGTCTACAAAAGACTCATCAGTGACGCTCAAATAACAAAAATTAAAAAGTAGGAAGTTGAAGAGCATTGAAGACCCAATATATCGAGAGGTTTTGCTAAATAAATCTAAGGTAATATATTCATTGGATAGAAAATCCCTATTATTTCGAAAAATTTATAGTTTTTAAGATTACAATGATATTATGACCATAGCAATGACGATTCATGTCAACACAGTTGATCAGAACAAATACAATAGGTCTTTCCACAGAAAAGTGGAAAGACCTAATAAATGGAGAGGAGAGGAAAGAAAAGAGGTGTCGTGTGCCAGTGAGATATTTTATGATATATATGATAAATTAGAATGGTTAAAAGTGCACATTTACAATATAAATCAATTGTTTTAAAAACAATTGTTAAACGGTCTTTCCCCTCCGAAACATGATTAATTGGGTTTTTGCTTGGTTGGTTGATTGATTGATTGTTTGATTGAATGATTGATTGATTGATTGATTGAAAATTTGCATGGCATTCTCTCTATGCGAGGCATCGGACTTGACGTTCATATTCTGACCGGGCTACGTACTTATTCATCCCGCATTCCCAAACGGACAGCCTCAGGATTTCCTAATAAATAAAAATTCTTACATCTTTTTTTTTTATTTTCTCTATTTGCTACGAGAACTGGTACTTCATGGTTTCTTTTATGTGTTGTGTGTGCATTTTGTTTCAACTTGTAGGTAAAAAAACTGAGTAACATTTTGTCTTGGAAGTTTCACTTTCCATATTTGGATATGGAATGTTTAATTCTAATTTTAGGTCTGCGCGCGTGATGATATTTTGAAGTCACGTGACGCTCGAATATATATATCTGGAGTTGCTTACTACTACAATATCTTTATTAATTTACAATATTGCCGTCAACATTGTTATTGTAGGAATGAACACTATCACAGTTATTTAAATTTTTATTTAACTATTCTTTAGGTTTTTAAAATTGACCCACAAAAAAATTCCGATGAAACAAACCTTTTGTACAATTGTATTTCTCCCATCCTCTATTGCAACCTTCATTACATTTACCTGACACGTGATTACATGGTGGATTTAGGCAGTTTGCAGAACAATGTTCTCTACATTGATTTCCGAACATTCCACTAGAACAAGCTGTAAACAAATACGTGGGGTATTAATGATTTTTGAACACTTCCATGCCCATTCCATTCAAGCAAAGACTAAACATTATTCGATCCTATAAAGTCATTTTACGAGAATCAATATAATTGTATTCAAGAAATGCTAAAGCTTTTAGTAACATAAAATGACTAAAACGAGGCTGAAAATATGATTAGTAGAATACTAAAATATAAAAACATTGCTATTATGAGCAAATCGTTTATATCTAGATAGCTCTTGTTAGATATTGTTTATTGTAAAGAAATACTATCAACATTGTTTTTATATGTTATAGACTTGAAAATAGATTATGTTAATTTTATTAATCAATGTATATGTTAATTGAACTTGAAGAAGGGTAATCAACTGATAATTTATTAAGATTCTAGCCATTATAGTGGTTCACGGCCGATACAATCTTCAGGAAACGACAGCAGTGTAATCGTCAATCACTTGGTAAATTATAATCAGTCCGTCCGACTTTGTAAATGAAAGAGCTACATGTATCTGTGATTCCTTTTTATTAATGAAATTGAAATAGACGTGCATTTTTCTAGTTTTTTTAAATACAACAAGCTTTTCGCTCTCACTTCTACTTCAGTATTGAAGCTTTATCTACTCTCGAAATTCGATTAGCAACAATGTATTTTACTAAACAAAATACCGTTTGTTTTGGAAGTCAAAGTTTAGCTCCTACAGCCTACAATTTAAATTCTGTAATAATTTCATACAAGTAAAGAAAAAGAAAAAACACATGTGACGAGAGGATATATGTTTCATGTTGCAGGTTTAGAAATTCATCAAGCCATAAATACATTTACCAATGTCACATCTGTAACCAATCCACCCATCTAAACATCCAAATGTGCAATTTCCTGTAATTAAGTCATATGGTCCGTTGCAGTGGCAAACATTTTTACAGTTGATTCCATATCTTCCTAAAGGACAGCCTGTAGACGACATGATATGTCAAATTTAAAAAATAATATACATTTGTTTGAAGATAAACGATAGACATTGCACTGTAATATCATGCTAGTAAAAAATAGTTTATATACTGGTAATAATTATAAATAATACATATATGGCGAGCCGTTTTCATATTTATTCAATTTCAAGATATCTTATCAAATAAATAAGATATCTTATTAAGTATACAAGATATCTTGTGTGCTTTTTGAGATATCTTATTATAGTTTAGATTAATAAGATTTCTATTATACTTTAAATGGGCATAAGCTACGATTCAGACAAAATTTGGAATATAATTCTTTTTGTGTCAATAATAACAAAAGCTGAATTTTGAAATAATAGTTCGTTATAAGTAGTCAGTTTGGTCCAAATTTGTCAAAATAAGGTCAGAAACATCAGTGCTGTATTATTCACTTACAAGTCAATAATGTATCCCCATCGAATCCATATTCATGTAACCTTCAATCTAACCCCTTAGCTAGAGATGGGTTACACATGTTTTTAGTGTTCAGCTATTAAAAGGAAAATAATGTCAGCATTTAAAGTGAAACAAGGATAAACCATTTGATTCACTGAATCGATCCACAAAAAATAATTCTTATACAGATAACAAGGATTATTAACATATCTTTTTTACCTATAATATGAAATCAAACAGCCCTAGAAACATCTAATTGTACGTGGTCGCTATCCATCTATATTTATGCTTATATCGGGTTATATGACCGTCGGCAGTCTTCGGAGGTCATCTTGATGGTTAATTCGATGGCATCTAGACTAACATATACATGAAATGCTGATACATATTATCGAGTCCATGCATTGTTAATTATCTATTTTAGACCTTTTGTAATTTGGATATACGTTTAAGTATGTTATAAATCAAATATGAGAATTTGAGTCCAATCGGTAACATAGATTTGACAGCTAATGCCCCGTTAAAAGCTATCTTTTTAACTTTAAACGACATCTTGTAAACTATATAAAGATATCTTATATATTTTTAAAGATATATAATTCAAATACTTTATGAGATATCTTTTAAAGTTTATAAGATATATCTTTAAAATTATATAAGATACTTTTAATCTTATTTAGTTTATAAAATATCTTATTAACTTTATAAGATATCATTTAAGCAATACAAGATATTTTATAAGCAATACAAGATACCTTATATATTGATAAAAGCAAAAATATACAAATATCTTATATGATTGAATTATCAGATATCTTGATTAATCTATCAAATATCTTTTTTTAGCATATTAGATATCTTATTTAATGAATAAGATCTTATTTGATATGTAATATATCTTATTTGATATGTAAGATATTGTATTAAAGGTAGATTGGGTATCTTTTATTACGCATCCCTTCTGGGCATGTTGCAAAAATACTTTTTTGTTTTAAAAATATTGTACCAAGAATTATTCAATTTACAACAAAAATATCTAAAACTTGAAATTTAAAATTTAACTATAAAAAAATGTAAGTGTCATACAGTGTATTTAAAATTTTCGGAAAAAATCCTTTTAAAATCAAGGGCAGATAATTATATATCGAATTTGATAGGACAATTTGCCTTTCTGTGTTTTTTTTTTTTTTTAGAAAATCAGGCCATTGATCCCCTTCTTTTATTAGAAATTTCAGAAGTATTAACGAAAAGATTCTCTCCTTGAACTAGCCAATATTATCGTGTAATGATTCCTCTATATAAAAGAATCCCGACTTCGTTAATTTCAATGCATTTTAACGAAAACATAAGGTCCATGACCCCCTTTCTTATATTGAAATTTGAAAGAAAATTTACCCAGAAGTCTTTTACAGAAGTCTACGAAAATTCTATCGCCGAATATTTAGACACCTCAGCTACATTTTTTGTACCTTAATATATAAGATATCTAATTTAATGGTTTAGATATCTCTTTTAGTTTATAAGATATCTCTTTAAGTTTATTAAGGACTAACATGCAATGAATTAATCATTTAAAGATTATAATAGAATTTCTTTGTGTAACTGAACGAACACAGATAACATGAGAATGACTCAATCTCCAGTTAAGATACCTACCACCGATTTCAATTTCACACAATTCCACTAAAGAATCTCCATTTAACATCGGTGGTACATATATCAAATATATGCAAACAACAAATACATTGATGTCCGTCTCCAAACGTTTGCCCCTGTACAATAATGTGCCATCATTCCACGTATCAGTGGTATTAGAACAATAGACTGTATGACCATCGTCATCGGTCGTTTTATCTGTAGACAAAATAACAGCTGTTATAAAGAAAGGGAAAAAGCATTGCCAATAAAAACAATCAAATTGTGTCAGTTTTTTATAATTTGGTTTAAGTTTTTTTTTTTTGGTGCTTATACTCGATATGATGAGTATAGATAGACCTTTAAGGTTGATTTTATTGTTATACTGTTACCCTGTTGTCTCATGTAAGGACAGAGGCAAGGATCGCACAAATATATTTCACCCCGCCACATTCTTTATTGGCAGATACCAGGAGTATGTTATCAGTTAGTTATCGTTGGTTCCTGTCTGCATAATTGTTTTTCGATTATTTGATTTTTTGACATGGATCAGTTCGTTGACATGTTGTTTTTTATTTCAAATTCAATCAATTTGGGGCCTATTATAGCATGCTATACATATTGCGTTTTGCATATTGTTACAGATTGTAAGTAGACCATTAGTTTTTCGCATCCTTGTCCTTAGGGTTTTGGCGGATAGTTGACTCAGATTCATACCCCATCTACTTGCTATTATATAGCAGAAGCAATACGCTGGTGATTGTCTTTTGGTTGCAGAATTTCATGGTCGCAGTTGAATTCATTCATCTCTATTTGAGATTCGGAGCTATTTAGAGCATAGCATAATGTACAAACCCCTGTAAATCGTTTAAGATCGTATGCTAGCCATTAGATGTTGCCTGAGTTTGTTATGCTGTTGTTGTGCCGATTCATGTACGTGTATGTCGAATTATGTTTTATACACACAGAGCAAAATAAAACCTTCCAAATTAGTTTATCTCATGTTTTGAAATATTTTAGTAATTGTCAGACTAAGAAAGGCTGAGTCAATATGACGTATCTATTTAACATTTATACCGTTTGTCACTTGATGTTTTTGAAAAAAAAGAACGATTTGAATATTAAAAAGTATAACACAAATTATTTTGTCCTTTATTTTTTCACAAACATTTCAATTATCTTTTCTAGTCAATCATGAGATTATAATGAGCATTAACTGTGCCCGTCTAATTTCAGATCAATTTCATTAACTGTTATGAATCACAATTTATGATAAAACGTCATAGATACCGAACAAATCCCACCTTTTTTAGTTATCTTAACGATATCTGCATATATATAAATGATACAATCAGTAAAAACAAGTATTCTTTATTAAGGTATAATTTGTTTTTGTATCTTTTGGTTATCCACTATACTGTTATTGCAGAGTTACTACATTTTCCTGTGTTTATTTTATTGTATGTTCTTATATGTATATTATTGTCAGTCCATTGATCAAGATTCAAAAGATGGAATGTTGAGATCTATAAAAAAACATTTTTTTTGTAAGTAATCTCGATAGTGATTGTCTTATGCAATTATAATATATTGTGTTACTTGAGAAATTTCGTGTTATTGGTAAATATTTGATTTTTATATTAAATCTATTCACAACGTTTATAGATTCGAGACGATTCAGCGCATGTCATTTAATGAATGCACCTGTTTTTTGTATTAACACTGTTTTCTTCCATCTATATTTCTTTTGATTATCTTTTCGTTGGGTTTCTGTGAATTGATATTTACCCAACAACGCCTTTAATGCATGCCTAATCAAGTCCGTTTATTATGTATAAAAGATTAATACCGTGTCACTATATGGCTTCTAACCTAGCAACAAGATGCATAAATTAAAATCACAAAAATACTTAACTCCGAGGAAAATTCAAAAAAGAAAGTCCCCAATCAAATGGCAAAATCAACAAAACAAACACATCAAACGAATGGATAACAACTGTCATATTCCGGACTTGGTACAGGCATTTTCTTATGTAGAAAATGGTGGATCGAACCTGGTTTTATAGCTAGCCAAACCTCTATTAATGTATCATATCGCATGTGTTACACGCAACTGCGATACTTAAATATTACACATTGCCAAACCAGTAGCCCTATACAAAAACTAGGTCAAGAGAACATTAAGGTGCAAGATTTATGTGTACATTTGGTTCATGTAATAATAATTAAATTTCCAAAAATTCCTGATAAGTGGTGATCTGCTCACCTCCAAAAACAAAATGCACTGTAGTTATAACACTTAGGGATTCAAATGCAACTTGCAAATAGGAACTGGTTCCAGTAAAAGAAAAACTATTACAAGTTGATATGAGTCCATCGACTGAAAGTCTTGCATTAGTTTGGCCCACAGGAATTATCTTTGCTGTTTGATTGTAAGCCAAGTTATCTGTGAATTAAACAAGCCGTTATTCAATATTACAAAGAAAAATGCATAATTGAATAACTGAAAATATTATATATTAGTCGGATTTAAAAACAAATGAAGGCAGAAATTATGCGTGAAGTAATTCAATTATATAATACGAATGAAATGTTTCTTTTCAGAGAGAAACCCAAAACAGTCATTATTTGACCACTTCAATTGAAAAAAAACTCACTTCTGCATCCGAAACGAATTTAATATCAATATGAATAGCATGATACCCTCTTTGTGGTATTTATTTGTGATGCCATTGTGATATTTATGTTTTTACATTTAATGTTAACCACTATCAAACATTAGCAACAGTCGTACCAAACTGGTCGTTTATCTGAATGCGTGTTTTGTTCTTCTGACAATTGATACTCTTATCTTTAGATCGCTTAAAATCTATTAATATCATCCATTTTTATCTGACCTGTAGAGTTAACAGAACTCGATTTTTCATACGAAAAGCAGCTTCCGTATCAGCATTTTCATACATTGTGTTTAGTATGAAATATCAAGTCAGTATGCAATACCCACCGTATTGTTTCCCGGCAATTGAAATTCGATAATAAGTCGCATTCGATGAAGTCTAAATCGAGGGCAAAAAAGACAGGATCTCGCTACGATAAATGAAACATGTGCGTGGTCATCTAAGACACACATATTATATAATGGCGTCCGTGAATCATTTGGAGGGATGCTGTTAATATTACAATTATGAAACCTTAGTTGAATAACTTCCTTGTAAATAACAACGGTCTATAAGGAAAATCATGATAGCTGGTGAATATCTTATCAACTGGGATTGATATAGTCCATACGCAGGTGCCGACGGATTATCGTTACATTCAGATGTCTCTCATTGTCATTGTTTTGATATAAAGCATCCTAAACGATATATTCTGTGTTTAACGTATCCTTTTTTTTAAGGTCAATAGGATATAATTAGGAGTCCAACGTGGTCATCAAACTATGACTGAACGTAAAGTCAAAGAAAATCCAACATTGTTTTTATTCTTCCTGAGAAGCTTCTGTATTACGTCCACCCCATTAGAGTGAGAACAAGTCGGCAAAACGTGGAGTTAAGCTTTTTCCCTTAGGGATGCTGATTGTCTGTTGAAAAACACGTTCTTTAAACATAACATTGCAAGAATGTTGACAATTTAAAAAATTTTGATATGATACAAAATGGTTTTCACAAAGTAGGATTTTTTCCTGTTTTAAACTATATATTTTTGTCAACATTCCCTACACTTTGTTATGACACAAAGTTTGGCTCTTTCCTCATTATAGAATACAGGATACTAGTGCGAAAGTTAAAAAAAAATGAAAGGTTTGCATAATTGTATGTACTCTAACTGATCTTTGGATTAATTTATTATCCACATTTGATTCACACCGCCGTTGAGGTGGGTATGTTACAATTACACTTGAGACCAACAATTATTGTTGTTACAAAACGATTTTTATAGTTTGGATAGAGGTCTCGTTGATCATTATGGATAACATAGCAGTATTAGTTTGTCTGTTGGGACACTTATGTATCTGTGTATCCAGTAGAGTGAAGGGATATCAAGCTCTTCATTGTTGGACGTAAATCCAAAGGAACATATGGCAGAGAGCTATGATTGTTGTGATTGTTTACCAGTTTTCAACACGATATCATAAAATTCTAAACAGGTTAGAATGCATACGTACACCGGATGAAAATGGACAAATCAGTTTCTAAACTAAACTGTTATTGTTGGAATTAAATTAAACGAAAAAGTATATAATATAATATAATATAAATAAGTCTAAATTGAAAACAACGTTCAAACCTATGATTGCGTTGGACAAAAACCACAATGTTTATACGCGTGCATGCAAAACAAATTTCTTGGTAGAGGGGTCTAAATACAGCACAAACAACATTTTCCAAAAGACAAAAAAAGTGAAATGTATATTTAGACAAAACGCATTTGACTAACAGGTCGAACAACGGATGTTCTTAAACCCTACTAACTGCCATTGACGATTGCCAAATAAACGGATCAAAAGATGTAACAAAATGGATCTTTATTTTTAATTTAATACCAAACAGAAAACAATAAACTTGCGGAAAAGATGATATACCGCAAACATGAGGTGCACAAATTTGTACACCATATCCGGATTTCGACAATTAATATCTCTTCAGTGATGTTAAGATCGAAACTGTATTTGGAAGGCCATATAATTTACCTCAATTTAGGATAGACTCTTGAATTTTGAAGAGTCGAAATAGGATGAACGGATCATATAAACCCGAAGGCAAATATAATACAAGCCCAAACGAAAAATATATTAACATCAACGGTACAATTTTATTTTGCACCAGATGCGTATTTGGGCAAGTGATTTGTCGTCAGTGATGCTCGAACCAAATATATTTGAAAATCCATAAAAAATGAAAACATTGAAGAGCTGATTAAATAACAAAGGGCCAAAAGTATAGCCAAAACCCAGACGAGGCACCAGAGCTACGCATGTACTTACTGTTAAATGATTTCAAAATCTAAATCAGCAAATTCTAATAAAACAATATCCGTATATTCATGCAAGTACCAAAGGTTCGGCAAATGGGCTGTTGATACCCTCTGAACTAACATTCCACCAGCAGAGGTATTCGTAAAGGAGAGAGAGAGAAGATACAAAGGAGCATTAAAAATAACAAGTCCAAAAAAATAAAAAAAATATCATGGCAAAAAATAACGACGAAAAAACAACAATAATAATAAATTTTAGAAAGACGTATACAACATATTCTTGGTCCCTATTCCTATCCACGTTAAATATTTCACTTATCAAATATTTGTGGGAGGGGGCGGGATCAATATACCGTTATATACACAACAGACTGCACTGGTTATCGGATCTCTGGACACACCAAACCAGGTACTTCATATATGTGAAAACCGCCTCGGTGGTCTCATGGTAGCGTGTTCGCCTCGATTACGGGAGGTCGTGGGTTCGAACCCTAGTCGGGTCAGATCAAAGACTAAAAAAAATGATATTTGCTTCTTCTCCTCTATACACGCGGCATTAAGGAGTAAGAGCATAGACTGGACGGCTCGGAGTCAGAATAATGTGTCCGGGTAAGGTAACATGTCTTCTTGCAGACTGTCACTAGCACGTTAAAAAATCCGGCTCAGCATTTGGGTCTAGTACAAAGCAGAGTAAATATTCATATTACATTAACATGTTCTCGTCCTGAATATGCATAATAATTTGCCATCATCATCATCATCATCATCATCATCATCATCATCATCATCATCATCATCATCATCATCATCATCATCATCAGAGAAACAGGCAACAATTTTAGAATTCATTCATACATTTTGTTATATTCAAATTTATCAGTCAAAATGTGTTCTACTAGGATCACCAGTCTTCACCTTCATTTGATACCTAATTTAACAAAATGTATTCTACATAGTCTGATATTTACACCTATACGAAGGAGTTCTTTTGTTTTTAATACGTACTGCTCTCCAGTATTTTCTTTTCGATCGTGCCCAATTTGGCTGTGTTACATCTTATAAAGTCTATCCGAATTAATATTGCAAAGAATTCCGCTCAAGCCGGTGTTAGGGGCCATCTTAAACTTGTAGTGAGGTGAGATTTTTTTTTTTTTTGGCTCCTGGTTGAAGGCCTGACTCTGACTTTGAGATGAGAACAGCAGTAAAAACGCTGTTCCTTTGGCTTATGTGGGTTTTTTTGGCTGTACATGTACTGATTTTGTATCATTGATGGATACCCCATATCTTTAGTTTTTTTCTTTTTACAATAACAGGTGCTGCTTCACATGTGCTACCGATCGTTCTGCTGTACACAATGTAACCGAAAAGTGACTTACTAAAAAATGATATGAGTGTTTGAACAATCCAAACTGTAAGCCGATTTTCTAAAAATGAAAGATAGTGTTACTAAAACGTAACTTTATATCAAAACCTTGTCACAACTATGCAGATCTGACTTGCACTTCAACTTCGTATTGTGGACTTTGATCTGAATAGTTGAGTCGTTTTCATTGAATTTTGCAAGTATGTACATGCTGTAAATTAATTGTTATCTAACGGATGCTTAAGTTCCATAAAGTATGCCATCTCTGTGAACTAACATATATCATTTTCAAATAATATGCGCTAATCTGTATAATGTAGAATTATTTTCTTGATCTTGTATGATTGCTTTGTTAATTTTTTGTAATATCTATCTGATTATTTGTCTGATGAACTGGCATTTGGAATTCTAGTTTAAAATCGAGGCATGGCATTTGTCAATTTATCATTTTTAGTCCCGAGGATAGTTTATACTGGTCATATACACCTGCATTAAAACCGATGATTATCATACTCATTTTCTCTGTTTACATATATATTAATAAACTATGAAGTAAATTACCAAAACTTTAAATTGTTACATAATTTCATGTTATATTATAGATAATGCATACTTTAAGGTTTTTCTTGTTGTATAACACACCGAGGTGTGTCATCATTGATCAAATGAAAGACTGACCGTAGAGATGTCTTTCTTTGGGAACTCCTGACACCCCAATGTGTGTTATACGACAAGAAAAACCTTAAAATATGCATTATTTGACTTATATACCGTCAAAACATATTTTTTTCTGCAAAGACTAACAGGATTTGCATCCTATTTTACCGACCAAAATAATGTTGGATATTCTTTTCTGATGCGTTCAGGTTTAAATACGTCCCCGGCTCATTTATAAATTGAGATAAAACTCACTAATTAATCTAGATATAAACTTAAGAAATCAGTATCTAGTTACAAAAGAAATATTGCTGTAACTGCATGAGCAAGACTCAAATGAATTGCTACGGTGTATGAAAAATACAAGTCACTGTGTTAGTAATTTACTGTTTCAACTTAGTGTATGACAGTGGATGCTATGTTTTTTTTCTTTTTCTTCATGACATGTGTAT